AAAAAAAATTAGCTGGGCATGGTGGCATGCACCTCTACATAGTCCCAGATGCTCCAGAGGCTGAGGTGGGAGGATTGCTTGAGCCTAGGAGGTCAAGGCTACAGTGAGCCAAGATCGCACCACTGCACTCCATTCTGGGTAACAGAGTGAGATCCTGTCTCAAAAAAATTTTTTTTAAAAAAGAAAGCCATCGTCAGGGTAAAAGGAAAGCAGTGGAATTACATGTTAGCTTTTTCAAAAAGCCTCTGCTAGGCTGTACACATATGAACTGTTTCACCTTGGTCTAAGGAGGCCTACACTGAGTCAAGTAGGTTGACTGAGCAGGTATTTGAATTAAGAATTATATGTATTATTACATCGACTAGCCTTAGATAGAAGGGGTTCCACTTAGGTTTTGAATTTGCGAATGACACCACCCTTTTCAGAAGCAAAATGTGGGAGGATTTTAGGAGACTACGTAAACAAACAGAAAGAAAAAGAAATGAAAAGCCTTTGACCTTACTTAGTCTGAGGGAATGTAGTTAAGAAAAAAATAATCTATCTTTTTCATACCTAATAACAGTAACTGCCATCGTGGGCCAAATATGGATGTGGGCCCTCAAGACAAGATCTAAGGAATTACTATTGGCAAACGAGCAGCAGAATTCAAGTGTACGGAATATAATGCCTTATCCATCCCTTTTACAAACACTGCATTTTGGCCACGTCTGGGTTAGCACCAAAGTCAAGAAGAGAAAAAAATTCAAGATCTGAGGAATGAAAATTAAACAGAAGAAACTGATTAGGAGAAGCAGCTCTATGAAATGCATTTTTAAATGAGAATGAAGCAGTCTAGAGAGGCACGACTTAAGAAATAAGTGTTTGGATATCTAAAATTGTGATGGAATAAAGATATGGGGCAAAAGAATGAGGCTATGTTACCTCGAAATTATAAGCTGAGAAAAATTATCACAAGCATACTAGGACACTGTGGCACTGACTATATAGAAAAGCAGAAAGAATTTTCTAAAATGCCAAAAGTCTATTTCTATATAGACAGGCTTGCAGATGCTCCTCTAAAGGCAAATTTAACCAAAGCACTGACCTCTAATCATGCTTGGGTTTATTGTTGTTATTATTATTATTATTATTATTATTCAAAATTAGGAGTTATTTACTCAGAAGCTTCTAGGTAGAAAGTCTTTCTTCAGGAGTTCACAAATGTCTACAGAGCATAAGGATATCGTTCTTCATAAACATTTTACTCTGTCAATTCTACACACCTCTACCTTTCATTCAAAATACTAATTTCTTCAATTTCTCCTATTAGATATTCTATTTGCAGTTGCCTGAGCTTTCCTAATATTCCCTTAAACACAAAAAAAGGAAAGAAGGAAGAAGGGGAAGAAGGGGAGGAAGGAAAAAAACAAGGAAGGAAAGGAAGGGAAGAAGAGGAGAAGGAAGGGTATGTGTTAATACCCAGTTAGATCATCGGGCATCTGCTTTTCCATGTAATCTGTACACATTTGGCAGAAGATTAACTTACAAACTGAATTTGCCCAGGCTCTTCACAGATATTAGTACTCAGATTAACACTTATTTCTATAGTACGCCAATGAAACAGGATACCTCTGCCTCTGCTCTGGAATGAGCTCCTGCAGCATCAGCTTCCCAGTGTCCCTTGGGACCCTCCTGACCTAGAGAGTAAGAGAAATCTGATGGCATATTGAGATGATTGTATACTGCACTGATGAAAGACAGCCAGACATTCCTTAGAATTGCCTGTATCTTTGTGCATATCTACTTATATAAAGAAATAAAGTACCTATATTTTGTCCTAATGGATTTGGCTATATAAATATCTCTGCAGCTGTGCTGCACTGACTCAACTACTATCACTTATACCAATAAAATCTTTCTAAATCAAAATTCTATCAAATTAACACAAGGATTCCTTTCTGCCCTACAATTTCATGAACTTGAAACCAAGTTCTGATAGCTAAACAAATTGTATTCTATTTCACAAATGTGTTGGGGATAATGCAATTTTTAAAGTTGTAATTGAGAAACATATCTCATTGGGTAACACACATTTGATCTTGTTTAGAAAAAAGTTTGTAAATGGCAGTATTAACAGTCTACAGATATTGAAAAGGTATTAAGAACATATTAAAATCCTAAAGTGGTAACCCATCCCTGTAGTAAACATTAAAAACCAATTATGATCTCTGTCTTCAGGGATTTGGGTTTGGAAACCATGAAACTATGTCTTCACTTCACCCATATCAGATATGCAAGTAACTGCATCTCTATTAGTCTGGACTCCAGGTAAACCTGGACTAATTTCTATTGTTATCATCTTAATTAAAGCCTCCAAAAGGTCAACTAAGAATGCAGTGTAATTGTTCACAGCCAGACTTCACAGCCAGGAAACTTGGAATCAAGTTCTGGGTAATCTTAACAAAGACATGTGACCTCACTGGGCCTCTGTTTTCCTATCTGTATAATGGGAAGACTAAAAAACTCTACCATATGGGGCTGTTGTGAACACCAGCACTCAAAAGTGCTTTAAAGCCACAAAGCCACGATTGTCATTGTGATATCAAGCCTCTGTATACTTTGAGGAATATGAAGACCCCTGTTAGAGAAGTTCAGAAAAAGCCCTTTATTTCATGGGCCATGCCCTCCACGGGGACTAAGGAAGTCCCCAACTTCCTCATTTCAGTGACCTTTTGTTTTTTCATTCCGCCTTGGGATTTCAATGTATTATTTCATTTTTTTCCTGCGATTGCAACTTTGATTTGACTTTCCCACTGCTAAAACGGAGGCACTAAAATTTTGCCCGTCTTTAGCCAAGATGGTAAATTGAAGCCTACATTCAAAAGCAGGGTAGATAATTTTAAAAGGGATCTCACATTCCGTGCATATTTCTTTGCCTTCCACTTAGGCCATTCTTATTTCTCTCTCATTACACACACACACACACACACACACACACACACACACTCATGCTTGTGAACACTCACACACGTGTGCACTGGTATACCTCTTCTGCTCAAAAACAGGGAAGAAATAAGATTAGGATAATAATCCGTTCAACGTTGGTTTTGTTGTTGCATTACTTTCACCACATATTAAAAAATAAACCAGCATCAAAGGGGAAACAAAAAGTAAATGCTATTAAAGTTCTTTTTTTCCTTCCCTACGTGTTTATTTGCTGAGGAAACTAAACATTAATGTCTGAGGTGTGTTTCATTACACATGGTGCACATACTTACCTGCTTGAATCTTTCACAAAACAGGTATCAAAGTAGATGTTTTCCTAGACAATCTTTTGAAAGAATGTACTTCATCTCTACCTTACCACAAACAAGAAAACGCACAATTTTCAGCAAGTTACAACATTATTTAAAAGCAATTTCTTAGCAAACGGTACATTTAAGGAGCTGTGTAGAGCAGATTCTGAATGCCCAGCCACTAGTCACCCACCACAGCAATCAGCGCCTCCTTGTCCAAACCATCAGGAATGGCCCAAGAAACTTTCAGAGGGAAAATAGATAGAGTTGTTAGAAGTGACAGCAGGGCACTGATCGGCAAAATTGAATTAAATCAGAATTCTGAGTTCCAGCCTTATAGGCTCCTGCTAAACTACTCTGAGTTTTGAGTAACTAGTTGCATTCAAGGGTACACCGAGAAAGACGTGATAATGTGAACGCAACACACGTACCCTTTTGTCAAAACAATGCGTCATCAAAGGTAGAAATTAACTAGGGAATTTCCAGCATTTTTCTTCATTGTGTACACCTCTCCTTCCTCCAGGCCCAAGAGAGGGTGAATAATGTTTATCTAGTTATGAAAGGGAAGAAAACCCAGTCACAGAAGAGCAACCCCGCACGGAATCTGGAGAACCCTAGATATCTTTGACTTTGTCCACTCCCTTCCTCTACGCTTCGCTAACGCCCACACCTCTTGCGACGCGACCCAACGTGCGTTCAGCTTACAAACCGCTCCACTAGGTTAGCCCCAACCACAGTGTAACCTTTCCGAAGTTAGTTGTTCGTCCACACTGAGCGCGGATGACCTCAGCCACAACCCAATAGAGCAAGAAACCAGGAGCCTGGCCAGGAGCCGCGGCCAGCGCTGAGCGTCCCCGGGCGCGGCGCTCACGTGGTAGCTGCCCCGGGCACGTGCGTCTCCGGCCTTAGGGAAGCGCCGCCCTGCGCGGGAGAGGCTGGCAGCGACATCAGACGCGTAGAAGGGAGGGGAAGGACCTGGGACATGCAGGGACCCTGCCAGGCGAGAAGCTGAGCTTCAAGCAGTGCGGGTCTAACTGCTGTTCCCTGGAGTGTTCGCAGGAAGGAAGACACAAGTTTGAATGGGGTAGCAACTTAAAAACATTTTTCTCCCAGTTTATTTTAAACGGGCAAATGCGTCAGGATCCTATCTAGAAGTGAGTTCTTCCGAGATTGTCACAATCTCCTTCTAGCCTGGAACCCACACTTGAAATTCCTGACAAAAGAGGGAGCCAAGATGTCCCGAGGTAGCAATGCCATCCTCCTGTATCTTTTGGGGAACCCTGCCCACTCGGTCTCGGGCAAGCGCCGGAAAACCGCGCCCTAGGGAAAAAAGGCAAGAGAGAGACAGAGAAGGTGGTGTCCCTTCCAGATGCATAAAGCCCTCTGAGTGTTGGAATTAAAAACCTACAACAGCCAGCTATATGTATGACTTGTTTCGTTTTGCTGGGCGAAGGGAGGCGGATCAAAAACTCTAGGGCGTTTTTCCCAAACTGGGAGATGGGAGCTTGGCAGTGGATCCCACTAGCACAGAACTCTTAGTCAACTGAGGCTGCAGCGGCTGCCACTTAGGGGTGGCGAAGGGGAGGAAAAAGGGGGAGAGAAGGAGGGGCAGCAGAGGGGCTGACGCGGGAGGGATGGAAACAGGTGAGCTCCCACCGCCACCCATCGGAAACCCAGAGCAGTGGCCCCCGGCACGTCACCGTCCCAACCTGGATAGCCACTTACCGGCTTTACACGGGTCCTTGTAATCTATAGTCTCTGTTCTATCCTCTTCGTTCCCATCAAAAGTGTAATCATAATCGAGGCCAGCGCAGACCCATAACTCCCGGTAGAAAACAATCCCCGAGGCCACCAGCCACACGAGCATCCTCGGGTAAAGCGTTTCCCACCCCATCCTCCTCCCCAGGAGGAAAAGGAGGGGACGGGACCCGGAGGATAAGCAGCCGCGGTCCGCGCTGAGGTGCGGGGCTTGGGACACCGGCGCTCTTCTCCCCACCTGGAGGCCCCTCGGAGGGACCGGGGTGCTCAGGTGTCCAGAGACACGTGGATGCCTCTGGGACAGTAGAGAGGGGGAAGCACTGCCTGTTACCCCCAGTCGCAGGGAGAAGTTGGCCAGGGGCCGGCGGGTGGGCGGAGGGCAGGTAAGGAGCTCGGCACTCGCAGGCGGGGAGGGCGGCTGCAGGCAAACTCGGCTCTTGCGGCGCTGCCGCTCGCAGCCTGCCAGATCGTCCTTCTGGCCGCCGAACTTCCCGCGGCAGCGATTCGGCGAGCGGCGCCCCGCGGGCTCAGCTGCCACCAGAGCTCGGGCTCCCGCGCCGCGTCCCCGCTGCTGCCAGGACTCCGCGGCCGAGCGCGAGCCGCCGCCGCCGCCTGAGCCCAGAGCCGCCGCTGCCGCTCCGGGAAGATGAATCCGGTCTGCACATCAGCACATCTGAACTGAAAGGGGAGACCGAGAAAGGGGGTGGGGGGCAGGCATGTCTATGCCGCGAGACCTTAAATGCGTGCAGAAGCCAGCAAAGCAACTGACTGCAAAAGAGCAAAAGTGTGAGGATTTGGGGATGCACTGTTTGCCTTCCCCCCGCCAGTCTGTCTTTTTACCCTCTTCCTAACTTGAAAAAAAAAAAAAAAATATTCGCAGCATCTAACCCAATCAGTTGCATCCTGCTTACTTATTCATACAATCAGGGTCAGGATCCGGGCCACAGCCTCCTCTCTTGACTTCTTTTGATAGCCTTATACAAACAAACAGACAGGAGCGCGCTGACAATTCAATTTACATTTTAACCAAAGATAAAATGAATATATATTATGCATCTGTGCCCGCTAACAGCAATTAATAGATGATGTACGTGTCAGCTGAGAGTGCCAGACAGGGGGTGGCGCGAAGGATCGTGACAACTTAGCTGCAAATCCCTATTTCCCCTCCCCCCAAATAAACAGCGAATGTGTGTTTCTTTCCTTTGCTGCTGTTTAACCTTAGAGCAGTGCAGGAATGAAGGAAAAGTGTCCGAGTCTTCGCGATTTTGGTAAGAAAATAAACAGACTACTGTAAAAGTCTCCTATCCAGCAAAGTTTTGCTAAGAACTAAGATCCTCAGAACTGCAATTTAAAGAAAAAAAAAAAAATCCAAAATCGAGTTACAGATTGCAGCAGCAGGAAACGCTAAGACCTTGCTGATGGGCTGGCGTTATGGCTCACGTGGGCGCAGGAAGGGAAGTTGGATGGAATACTCGGGAAGCAAATTTTCTGTGACAGTTCTGGCGCCCATGAGCAGAGTTGCTCAGTATCCTTCGGCTTCAGTTGTTTTACTTCTTCAGAGGAGAGGGTGTAAAACCTGGCAGGAGGGTCAGCGAGGTAAACCACATGTCAGCCGAGCAGACTCAAGACAAACACAGGTTGTGGGAAATTGGGGAGGAAAAAATCAGAGGAAATCTCTGCAAAACCCCTGTTGTGAGCAATTCCAAGGTTTCCCCACATCTGCAAGCAGTTTCCAAAATAGGTGAGATGACTTCTCCCCCAACAAGCTTCCAAGGGACTGGTGATTGGGAGGTTTCCTTTTCCAACTAAATCTTTTCCAACTAAACTGTCACTTTAGCAAGGACTTGCTAAAAAAAAAAAATTGTATTTTTATTTGACTAGTGTTCCCCCATTCAAATTATCATCTAGAGGAAAACCACACACACACATGCACACACGCGCGCACACACACACACACACACACTCCTTTGACATCTTTGGTTTGGAAGATTTTCCTGGGTTTTATTCATGTTTATGAGAGAAAAGTAAGAACCCAATCTTGAAGAAGTACCAACCATTTTCAACTTAAAGTATGGGAAAGCTAGGTGGAACTGAACCGATCCAATGTTCTTTGCAAAGCTGGGTCTTTCTCAGAGGCCATTGCAATGATGGAGCCTCCCTTCCATAGACCTTAAGCTCCGTATGCCCAGGTTACAGAGCAGAAGTAGATTTTTTTAAAGCACATGTTCAATAAGCAGGTAGAGTCGTTTGATTTTGAAATCTCTTGCTGAGTCATTCTCAAATTCTCTTAGCCATCCAAAAAAAAAGTTTGCATAATTAATAATAGTGTTGCCTTAGTGCAGGGCTCAAGAAGAACGTATCCTGCTTAGCACATCTGAAAGCCCAGAAAATGCAAATGTCATCTAGAGGATTCCTGCTCTTCAGCTGCTGACAGTGTCCTCATTCCCTACCCCAAAACCTTAAAAATATCCCTTGTTAATCTAAAGGCCTGCAAACATCTCCTTAGACTATTTTATCATGTGTAAATTTGCAAGAGTTTTTACCTATGGTTTGCCTAAACATCACTTACTGTGCAGAATAAATATGATTTTTTCATTGGTTTTGGGGAAAAAAGTACTGTACAGGGATATCAGCCTCATTATGTATAATGACACCTTTTTTTTTTTTTTAACAGATATTCATTATCTGGTTTTATAATTTTATAAATTTGTAGCCCAGAGAGTTAAAATGATTAACATAATAGAACCTGAAGTCAAAATATAGTAATGTTTCTTTATAGCTAATATACTTGCAGAGAATGCTTACAATACCTAGGCCTAATCCCTGTTTATTTTTAAATATTAAATCTAACTCTAGGTTTGTGATAATAAAATTCATTTTTTTCTTTAAACTAATTTTGTCTCTATAGTTTCTATTATTACAAACCAAAAATAGATTTTTCCCTGTCCATGAAAGACACATAAATTCACAAGAATATGGTTATGAGCAGAGAGTTGACTGCTCTGTCATAGTATAACTGCAGACACACAGTAGGTAAATTCAATCTCCTCAGGGAGACAAAAAGGAGAAATTGATTCCCTCAGTAAGACATGTGCTGATGTTGCCCTGGCTTCTAGCTGGCAAGCTCTCTTGATTGACATTGCCACCTGCAACAGGACCCCATCACTCTCAGCAATGATAGGGAATGAAGCCACCCAAGATGGCCGCAAAAGGCAAGCTTTATTCCTATTGGTATATCACATTGGAAATACCAATTAAAATAACCTCCCCTTGTAGAAAATATCAATTAGACATGTATACTTTCTAATCTAGATTTGTGCAAAGCTAGATGTGATCATTTTGTGTTACAAAACCAAGAAATACATGAAAGAACATATTTCCCTCTTGTCCCTTGTGAAAAAAATCATAAATCAGACATAAACAAAATGTGGGTTTTCCTCTTCCCTCTGGTCTCGCTCCCTCCTCTGAGCTAAAAACTGTTAACTTGTTAACCAAATAGCATCTATATAGATTGACTTCTCAAAACAGCAAGTATTAGCAATTTCATATTAATTTAAATATTTAAAAATCCTTCTTTGTGTTAATGCTACTGTTATTCTGAATGAACCTATATGGAATTCAGTCAAATACTTTTAAGTGAAGAGATGATTAGAGCCTCAATGGACTTTGACTTCCACATTTTCTTTTTTTAATCTTTCAGTCTATAATTTTTATATTGCTATATATATATATATATATGTGTGTGTATAAGAGTGTGTGTGTGTGTGTGTGTGTGTGTGTGTATA